GGGCTCGCGCATGTATTTGCGCTGTCGCGCATATGTGGGTATGAACATTATGTGCAACGACTGAATTAAAGGTGTGTTTAAAATATTTAAAAAAATAATTTACCGATAAAACTCCGGAAATAGCCGAATATTTTTTGTTTGAATGTCGTATTTTAAAAAACAACCAAAATTCTGTGAAATCGGGCTCGCGCGCGAACATTTGCGCTATCGCCCATATGTGGGTATGAACTTTATGTGCAACGACTGAATTAAAGGTGTGTATATTTAAAAAAATAATTTACCGATGACACTCCGGAAATAGCCAAATATTTTTTGTTTGAATGTATTTTAAAAAACAACCAAAAATCTGTGAATTCGGGCCCGCGCGCGTACTTTTGCGCTATCGCGCATAAATTCGCGCTGTCGCGCGTGTATTTGCGTTATATAAATGATTTATTTTTTACCCTTGGGACACAGGTATCGCTAATCGCGAGCAAATGTGAATACGTCAAATCTGACGTTTTTTAAAACAGCTGAAAAATCCGTTTCCGGGTTTTCCGGAAATCTTCCGGTTTTACATTACCGGCCTCACTGGTGTCCGTGTGAGAGAAAACGTTTAAAATTTCAGCCCGATCGGGCCAAAATTGACCGAGTTATGCCCAAAAACGCATAAAAACGGGTATTTCATTTGAAAAAAATGCCTAAAAAATAATTTTCCGTAATTTTCAAAATTTTTAATTTTTTTCTTTTTGGTCTTCCAGAGGAAGTTATTTTACACAAATTTAGTGAAGGAATTTTTTCTCGGCCTTATATTAAGCGAGTTATGGATGTAAAAATGTACATGGAAGAAACGTCAGATTTTGACGTTTCTTAAATTTTGAATTTAAAAAAATCATATCTCGAAAACTAACAAAGATAACCTTACGCGGTTTTCACCAATAGATTTGCCATAAAAATGTCTTTTTTTAATGTCGTATACATGATCTTGCTAAAATAAAGATTTCTGCCGAAAAACTGAAAATTAAATAAAAAACCGACAACTTTTGAATTAAAAAAAATCATATCTCTAAAACTAATATAGATACACCTATGCTGCTTTCACCAAACGATTTGTCATAAAAATATATTTTTTTAATGTCTTATACATTGTCTTGCTAAAATTAAATTGTATAATATTTTTGTTCGAAGTTCTTATTTTTAAAAACATTCGAAATTCTGTAAAATTGGGCTCGCGCGCGTACATTTGCGCTGTCGCGCCTGTATTTGCGCTGTCGCGCCTGTATTTGCGCTATCGCGCTTGTATGTGCGCTATCGCGCATATGTGGGCATAAACTTTATGTGCAACGACTGAATTAAAGGCGTGAAAAGTTTAAAATATTTAAAAAAATAACTTCCAGATGACACTCCGGAAATAGCCGAATATTTTTTGTTTGAATATATTATTTAAAAAAACAACCAAAATTCTGTGAATTCGGGCTCGCGCGCGTACAATTGCGCTATCGCGCATACATTCGCGCTATCGCGCGTGTATTTGCGCTATATAAATGATTTATTTTTTTATAGTATCACTAATCGCGAGCAAATGTGAATACGTCAAATCTGACGTTTTTTAAAACAGCTGAAAAATTCGTTTCCGGGTTTTCCGGAAATCTTCCGGTTTTACATTACCGGCCTCACTGGTGTCCGTGTGAGAGCAAACGTTTAAAATTTCAGCCCTATCGGGCCAAAATTGACCGAGTTATGCCCAAAAACGCATAAAAACGGGTATTTTATTTGGAAAAAATGCCTAAAAAATAATTTTCCGTAATTTTCAACATTTTTGATTTTTTTCCTTTTGGTCTTCCAGAGGAAGTTATTTTACACAAATTTAGTGAAGGAATTTTTTCTCGGCCTTAAATTAAGCGAGTTATAGACGTAAAAATGTACGTGGAAGAAACGTCAGATTTTGACGTTTCTTAAATTTTCAATTTAAAAAAATCATATCTCGAAAACTAACAAAGATAACCTTACGCGATTTTCACCAAAAAATTCGCCATAAAAATGTCTTTTTTTAATGTCGTATACATGATCTTGCTAAAATAAAGATTTCTGCCGAAAAACTGAAAATTAAATAAAAAACCGACAACTTTTAAATTAAAAAAAATCATATCTCGAAAACTAATAAAGATACACCTATGCTGCTTTCACCAAACGATTTGTCATAAACATGTCTTTTTTTAATGTCATATACATTGTCTTGCTAAAATTAAATTGTCTGCATCAAAAAGGGAATTTTCAAAAAAAAATTTAAAAAATTGACGAATCTTTGAAAAAAATGTCCAAATCGTTTTTTGATTTTGATAGTTTTTTAAGGGGACATTTGCACCATGAGCCCACACATTGTTGCCAAATTTCAAGTCGCCATCTATTTATAGGTCAAGAGATATTAATGATTTTGTAAAATAAATCGCAGAAGAAGAAGAGGAAAAAATTTTAATATTTTTTTTTGGCAAATTGGTCTACAAGACCATAGTTTACCTTAACGTAGGGTGAACATTAAAAAAATGTGTTTACAAACAGTAGAAAAAAATTAATTAAAAATTGCCTGCATTTTTTAAAATAGCAACAAAAATAAATTGAGCAGTAGGCCATGTTAGTTTGTTTCGATGATTTTTATTTTTTAGTATGTTAAATAACAATTCTTTGCACATCTATTCGTGTTTTTAGTTTACTTAAAGTCTTCTTAGTTTTCGAGAAAAAAAATTTCAAAAAATTCCTGAAAAAGTCGAAAAAAATTTTTTTTTTCGAAAGTTGCAGGCCTGAAAAGCCCATATACTATATACCTTAATAGATAGTCCTCGTACACGTTTTCACCAAATTTGGTCTTTCCACGACCATCCCTTCGACCTGGAAAGCGTCATGCGTAAACCCCAAAATTTCGTCGAAAAAATTGATAAAAAGTGCACTTGGACCTTTCTTGCAATAACCAAATTTGGATGAGAGGTGCGTCTCATGGGGAGTAAAAAAGGGTCTTAATTTCAAGTTTCCACCGTTTACCATTTTCCAGTTATGAATTTTTAAAAATTTGATGACAGACTCACAGACATCCAGACACACAGACACACAGACATCCAGACATCCAGACAACAGAAAAAATGAAAGTTGTTCAGAATTCGATTCCGAGTCGATCCATATATGTAAAGGTATATCTAACTGCCCGGGAAGTCGCATTTCCAAAAATTCCCCTGCTTCTATAAGTCATGGAGTCTTCGACTCCACGACTAACTAGGAGCATACATGTCTACTTGTGCCTAGAAAATTATTACTTTATTTATTTAACCCAATATTCCATAAAATTTTAAATAATTAAAAAGTCTTAGCTGCTTTTGAATTCTGCACTAAAAATATGTTATGTCCCATGAGTTATCATATTAACCAATTTTTTTAAAACCTCACACAATCAAAGCAGTTAAGTTGAATGTTTTTTTAATACACTATAGGCAAAGTATATTTTTAAAATAAGATTATGTTTCATACAGTTTAGGATTCAGAGAAAAAGGTTGCTTCATTTAACCAATTTTTTAAAGAAAGTTTTTCGTGTCCCATGAGTTATCACACGTTTTGTCTGCATTTTGTCTAGAGATTAATTGGTGAACTTATTCAAAAATGTTAAAAATGTACATTGGCCTATCCTTTAAAGTTTAAACATTTTATACATTCCTAATAAATATAGGTATTCTGGTATACCAAGTTAAATTTTATTTCTGTCATCTGAATGTCCCGTGAGTTATCATGGAATTGCCCAGATATAGTCCTTCAAAATAATTTTTAAACCATCAAACCGATTCTTCTTAAATTTTGTGTAGGTTAAGCTTCCGTCGATAATATAATGAAAATTTCCTACAAAATGCCCAGTGGCGGAGATTTTGGAAGGGGTTTCCCCTTTTTACCCTCATATTTTCGACGCCACTGGATTTTATTAGAAAATCATCAGATTATTTTTATCCTTTTTCAATCTAAAAGCAAAACTTTTATGTTTATTTTTTATCAGATCAATGGTTTCGAAGATAAATATTTCAGTTTAAAATTTCAAAAACACTGTGTACCCGGAACTTTTGTTACTATTTTAGCAATAAAAAATTGATATTTTTTCTGAACGATTGTATTGGGCCAATAAAAATTTACCAATGAAATAATGGAATAATCGCTTTCAATAGGGTGGTTTTTGGGTTGGTTTGATTTTGTATTATAATACAATTAAATTATTAATTACAGACGTTGATTGTAATCCTCAATCAACGTTACAATAAAACAACCTAAAAATATGACGGGTTCAGTAACAACTGCACGATGACTCCTGGACGCTACTTTATTTTTAAAATATTTTATAAACTGATAACGTGGCATAATTGTTACCAAGTTACCGATTTAAAATAAAATATGATAAAATTCCGTGTACTCGGTGTTTTAGAAATTTTAAAGTCTCCGAAACCACTAATCTTATGAAAATTTAACACACAAGTTTTGCTTCTAAATTGAATAAGAAATCTGATTATTTTCCAATAAAATCCATTTTGACACCACTGCAGTGGTGTCAAAATATGGGGGTAAAAAGGGGAAACCCCCCCAAAATCTCCGCCGCTGGGCCTTTTGTAAGAAATTTTACATACACAAAATTTGAGCAGAAGTTATTAAAAAAAAACGTTTTTTTGCCTTTGAAGGGCTATTAGTGTGTTAGTGTGTATTTTTAAAAAATGTTTTTGGGTTTGTTTTTATTGTTTTTTCAGGCTCTATCGATCATTAAAATTTTTCAGATTAATCCTGGACCACCCTGTATACATATATATGTACACAGAACTTCTGTAGCATAAGTAACTATCTTGCAAAGTAATAAAATTAAATATATTTACATATATGTAAAAATGTAAAGAAAAATTTTTTTAGATAAAATTAATTACTGAGGAATACACCAAATCTTCAAAGTACAGACAATACAAAATAACATGCATAATAATTGTATTTTATTATCAAACGAGGCTTACCCGACTAAAATCAAAACAAAACAGCAGAAACAGCACGCAAGTTTAAAGAAAACAGTTAGGTCTGTCTGGGTAGCACCAGTTGCTTAAAGAATATAAAAATTAACGTGTCCAAATTGTATTGTGTTGTTTTGGAACCGGTTGCAACCGAATAACTGAATCCCCGGGGTCGCTCAACTTATTTTATTAATTACAACACAAACGCGCCTCCGATCGCGCGTCAACATTGAGAAATCGGAAATCCCCAACTAAATTAAATTTAAATGTAGATGCATGCATGTCAGCTGTTAACCGCAGGAAGAATTGACATTTCTTTTTATTATTGTCATTCTACACGAGTACTGTTTATTATTTATCGCGAACCAATGCCATAAATTATGATAATAATTATTATCTATCAATGATGTACAATTTTCCAAAACTATTGGACTTAAATTAATTTTTCCACTTCTACATTGACAACCTGTGACTTATGGCGCTTTATGGCTTTAAGACAGTTGTCAAATTTCATACAATTGTATTAATCGTCAAAATAAAGTGCCAATACAAAAATACAAAATTATTAAATAGGTGGTTTCTTGACGCCAATCTTTTAATAGTAGAGTCATTCCAAATAAAAACACCAAATGGGGTGCGCTGCGTGATTTTTTATTTTGATGAAAAAATTTGAGGATGATCTTTTAGGTGTCAAATATGAAAATCCGTTGGCGTTTTAATTTTTTGTTGCTTTACTTTTATTTGGCACCCCTTAGAAGTCTGAAATAGTGTCAATTTCTTACTCTCTTATAGTGGGCCAGAACTTTTTTTCTGTGACAAATATTGAAATAATTTTAATTTTGTTATACTGTCCAGTAAGTGTGTTTTCGATATAAATTATTTTTATCCAATTAGTTAATCTCATAAAAGAATGGTAAACCACTAAAGATTCATGATAATTTGCCAATTTTTGTGATTTTTGTCTGGCTCCTGTGCCCATTCTACTGAATTTAGAAGGTTCATTTTTTTCAGGTATAAAGTACTTATACAATAGAAAACGTAACTATTATTTTAAGTTTCTAGACTATCAATTTCTTTATTAAAAAAATTATTGAAAGTTGATAATTCTCAAAATTAGCCAATTTTGCCCTCAGAAGTCATTATGTTGAGGAAAAAATAAAAATCTGAAACTTTCAGGAAATGTAGTCCCTACCTTCATCTTTTCAGTCCAGTTAGTCTTGTTTTGTTATTTTTATTCCTTTAAAAGATATATTAATTTTTTAATGGCCGTTTAGTAGCGATATTGTTAGTTTATATACATATATAATATATATGTATATAAAAAAATGGAAAATTGATCAATATACAGGGAAAAACAAAAAGTTTATTTTTTTTTCAATGGATCACCCTATATATGAATTTAGTTTTCGATTCGTTGTAAAATTCTGAGCATAATTCATATAACAAACCATATACCTAAACTCAACCGTTTCTGAAATACTCGCATTCGAAATGTTATCATTAAATGTTTTTTTAAATTGTTAGAAATCAAGAAGCCTCAGTATACCAATTTTTTTATTGAAAATAAATTACTATTGTGATATTATGTCAATATGTCTTGTTAAATAAGTAAAATTGGCGTACTCAGACAGAGAAAGACAAACTATTTCAAATTATTATCTTAAAAATAATTTAAATATTTCAGAAACAGTTGAATTTAGGTATATGGTATATTAAATGAAATATGCTTAGAATTTTAAAAGGAATTGAAAAATAAATACATATATAGGGTGATCCATTGAAAAAAAAATAAACTTTTTGTTTTCCCTGTATACTGATCAATTTTCCAATTCTCTTTATACATAGAAAAAAAGTATTTTTTAATACCACACAACCATACTTTTAAATTTTTTGGGATAATTAAAATAAAAAAGTTAAAGGGGGGCGACATTATAGGGGATCACCCTGTACGGTAATGGGCGTTTTAAAGGTGGGAGTAGGAGAAATAAATTACATACCTACATATTTTTTTAAGAACGAACTAAAAATAGTTTGCATTTAAAAAACTTAATGGTATTATCAGAAAAATGTATTTATCTACTCCCACATTGACAAGCTGGGAGTTTATGGCGTTTTAGTCACGGGATGAAGTTATTATCAGTGGCTTTAAGGCATTTTAGTCACGGGTTGAAGTTAGCTTTGTTATAAATTGGGAAAGTGGGAAAGAGTGAGGTTAAAGTTAAAGTTGTCAGATGTCAAGTTGTTTACAAACAAAAAAGGCCATCCCCCCTGAAGAAACGGAGACGTTTTTTCAGATCAAAGAAGAAGAAGAAGAAGTTTACAAACAAAATTGGCTTTAAATTCTTCTTTGTGTTCGTCGTAGATAAAGTATAGTATACAACTCGTTTTATAAATTTCTCTATACACTCGTTTCTCTAGACACCAATATGGGGTTTATGAAACTTGCATACAGGGCCATATTACCCATTAGGCAGGCAAGGCAATTGCCTTAGGCGCCACGTAGAAATAGGCGCCTTGTCCCCAAGCAACTTAAAAAAAATAAAAATTGTTACCAAAATGTTTATTTTTTCCAAAAATACAACAAATAAACAATATACAATTGTAATAACAGAATATTATTTACTGTTTTTATTATTTTATAAAAATTTAGCTTCCTTTGTAATAACGAGGTGTAAAGCCGACAAAAAAGCGTGCTGCAAATTCACTTCTGTTTTTATGCCAAATACATAAATGTATTTCAGATAAAATTAATCAGGTGTTATATCACCATGCTTGATTGCGAGGGCACTGCGTGTTGAAGTAGAATAAGATATTTTATTATTAACTGTATAATTAACAAATAATAATAAATCTTAACGTTAAACTGCAAACAAAAACTTAAAAGATAATTTAATTTGTAAACTTTACCCTGTATAAACATATCTTTAGCACTCTTTAAACTATTTCAAAACCCCCGTATGCTCCAAGCACACGGATTTCTCTTGCATCGGGTACCCGCTGTGATGTGCTGCTCACCCCAGCGGGTACGCGATACTAGAGGAAACTGCTGCCGGAAGGACTTGGGGGTGTTTTCGCGTTTATTTAAGAGTGTTGTGTGTTTGGTGATAGCAGTCTGTGTTCGATAGTTAAGGTTGATTTAGCCTGGCTTTTAAATTAAATTACGTTACGTTAGATTACGTTACACAAAATGCTGGCTAAATCCACATTTAGATAGTGTTAATTTTTCTGTTTGTTTTAAGGTATTTCTGAAATTTTAATATTAAACTAATTACAATAAACCAGCACTACATCTAACATACAAATACAGAAAATTAAAGTAGATTTAATTTTTTTTAAATACTTACTAATGACATCTTGCAGAAAAACGCACTTATAAGTCCTAAAACTTTTTATTTACATTATATTTGTTATGTTTGTATGTTATTTATGTATTTTTTTAATGATAAAATGTATTCTAATTCATAAGGAATAATTAGGTTATAATGCTCGGGCGCCCTTAAGCTAACAGTTTGGGGTGGCTCTAATAAGCTTTTTTAAAATTTGCCCCGGGCCCCGTAAGTATAGTATCTAGTTAGAGGAGCCAAATTTTTAAGTGCCTAAGGCGCTCAATTGCCTTAAGCCGGCTCTGCTTGCATAATGCATAGTATAGGTACTTACTGTTATAAACTATAAAACTTTTTTTTAAGATCGTGTTAAAAACTTATTTAGGACGAGAAACGAATTTTTACAATAAAATTGAAATTAAAAAAGTCTTGGCACAAAAAACAACAAAATAATTTTGCACCCTCTCGAAAGGACTTTCCTAAACGATTCATTTACATACAATTACCAAACGTGATATTACTTTTCATAATTAGGTTAAAATTTTAGAGGTTTTTATTTCTAATATATTATTAATTATAATAATTATTAATATATATTATAAAATAATAAAAAAACCTTGTAAAAAGTGATTCCATTACAAATTTTGACCCAAATAATAAATAATTTTTTATAATTGTTAAATTATGACATTTTTGCACACAAAATAATGTAATCTATAAATATCAACAAAATATTAAAATTAAATATGATTGCTTTAAACCAACCTGAATCTAGTACAATACATATTTACGATACAAATGATCTTAAAAGTTATCACTCATTGTAAAAGGGTCATTAATGCGCAGTGCAGTATTACTAACTAAACAAATATTTAAATAAAATAAAAGCCATATACCACTAAAAAACAAATCCTTTTAAATGGGTGACATAACTACCGGACTTTATACCGTTCCTACAAATACAGGTATAATGTATTTTTCTTTAAATCTACTTGTAAATTAAATTTTTTAAGTAATTCGTGTTTGGAAACGTTTTTATTTCTATGTAGATATACCTAAATGTATATTAAAATGTTGACTCTTAAAGATAGCAATTTATAATTAATAAAATAAAATAAAAAATATTTGACTGTAAATTTATTTTTAAATAGATACATATAAAGATAAAATGTAATCAAACCCTGTGTTTATTCTTGTTACTCAACACTATCTGCAGAAAATTGTTTCAAGTTTTAATGATGTCTACTGGCTAAAAACAATGCGAAATAATTATTCAATAATGTAAATTTACGTAAAGATGGAAATATTAAAAAATGAAAATGAAAGTTTTCACAAAAGAAGACTGCTGTTTAGCCACATTTACTGGAGTGCAAATCAGATTGATAACAGTTTTGCTGCAAGTAAGTAAAATTTATAAATTTTTAGATATGAATATATTCTATAGTTCTACAAATTAGGGAATTTTCGGCGACTCAAAATACGAAAAAATGTAAGTCAATTTTTCTAAAAATTTACAATTTTTTACGGATATCGAGAAAAAAGTGAATTTCCGACGCTGAATATAATCATAATATTATGATTATAATAATTATTTATTTTATTTTAATAGTAAGTATATTCTACCGGTTCGCAAACAAAAATATTTGGTTCTTAACATAACTTTTTATTTGACATTTCGTTTTATAAAATTATAATTTTGTAATTCAACATTTTTTCCGTTTTATTCGACACTTTTTTAATCGGATTAATTTTTATTCCAAACTGTTAATGTTATTTCACATTTTCCAAAAAACCGGGGAAAAAAATCGGAGAGATTTTCAGAAAAATTGACTTGCATTTTTTTGTATTAAAAATCACTGTCCCACGGGATTTGTAAATTAAAAACTGGCAAAAATTGAGCTACGCGTTGCGACGTTATTGTTAGCAAATTTAGTTTCGAACTAAATAAAAAAAAGATAATTTTAGCGATTTTATTTATAAATTTATAAAATATGGCTTATGGTTTTTTAAATTGTGTTAAATCTACGTCTTTTTAAAGAAATATTAAAAAGTTCTCAGTTTCCTGTTAATTTAAAATTTAAATAAGTATACGTTATTAACAATAATTTATAAAGTTGAAAGATATTATAATATTTAGAGTTTCTGTTTAAGACTAATAGGCTTTGGACAAATAAAGTATAGATTACAAAATTGATCTATTTTAATTTCTATATTCTTTAACATAGACTAAATTACATCTATTGTATCTATGCGTAGATAAAACGATAATAAACGTTAATTTATATTTTCTGTTTTATTCTGAGTTTCCTGGCGCTTGATTTTCTTTAAATGGCTATTTAATCAAGATATTTGAAAATACAGATGTATAATATATTATAAATGGCTATATAATCAAGATATTTGAAAATACAGATGAATACATCTGTATTTTCAAATATCTTGATTCACTTAACATATGCTAAAATATGTTTTATTTCATATCGTGGGCTAAATTTCACAACTAAAATTTATCGTCCCTAGTTTGTAAAACTATCCATATACAGGTTGTATATCTGTTCCTAGTTTATTTTACAAAAAAATCAATTTATAGGTACCAAGTTTTAGGAAACATACACAGAGAAAAGTAAATTATTAATTTAAGAAAATGCATTTATTTGAAACATGTTTGTAAGAACTAAAATTTTCTTATTTATAGTAACTTCTCATTAACTATAACAAAATACTATTATTTGTTTGTAAATCACAAGTTTTTTAAAAACAACTTATTGTTATTTATTGTAAAGAAATATTCATTATTATTAGCTATTAAACATTTTTTTGATCGAAGTTATTTGAATTTAGTTTTTACAAATGATACAAGCATATAGTTTCTTATTTTAACAAAATAATAACGTACTTACTTACGAGTAAATTTGCTTCTTTAAGTAAGCAAACTAAACCTGGAATAAAAACTCAACTAAATATTTGCTTGTATTAACCAAATATGAGTTTTAAAAGGTCAATGAAATGTAAGTAGTCCACCAATTAAATATCTTCTTTTATGTTAAGACTTTTCCCTGTGTACAATTTAAAAAAAATAACTAAATATTTCTATTTTTTTTTAGAATTTTCTAGCAATGATTGGGCTCCAGTTGTGATAGTGCCTCTCTTGGCGACAATTCTTCTGGCAATAAGCGTTTTTCTACTTATCATTTTTCGGCAAAATCCAGCGTTTGTTATTAGCACAGTGGCGGGATGTTTGATTTTTGTTACCATTTATTTAACACTTACTGCTATAGATTCCAGCAGACAAACTTTTTCTTAATTTTGTATGATTTAAAAAAAAATACCTAATATATTTTATTTTTGATAACTTTTGTTTTATTGGAACTCAAATACATAATTTCTCCGGGGAAATGTAAAACCCTTTATTTGGGCAGAATTATAGTAACAATTCTTATGAGTATGAGTATGAGTATGGGAACGTATGGCAAGCCCCAGATATATTGTCATCCACTGATCTCCCGGGGTTATATTACCCCCTTTCCGTTCTCCTGCGTATCCCGCCAAATCACAGCATTACCTGTGTTTGTTGGATCCGAAGTTTTTACGCCGGCTGGTAGATCCACCCTAGGAGTTCGTGGATGACAGTGTCAAAGGTTAAGGCAGCTCCCGGGATTTTTGTCAGCCGGGTCGGGCTTAGGAAGGGTTTTTGGAGGACATTGAACTGACCCAAAACTAAGTACAATCCGGAATCCTCCTCAACCTAGGCCTTAGTAGTATCCCCATTCAATTGGTATTCGTGAATGGGGGTGGGTATGTTAGTTTTTTGCTTACTCCGGCTACCAACCTTGTATATTCTTTATTTATTTTATTGCTATATTAGTGTTCATACCGTTTTCATTTATTTATATCTTTGCCTTCTTACTTATTTTTTTTCAAATTAATTTAAAAATAAAAATATTAATATACAAAATAGATAAAGCCGGCCCTGTGGTGTATCGCATCAATATTTGAAACCCGGCCCCTATGTCAGGCGTGCAACGCATGCCTCAATAGATGGCCTACCACTTCATTTTCACGTGGGGGCTTTGCCCATTTACTTTCTCCATCCTCCAAGCTTTGCTTGCGTGAGCTTATGTGTATATTATATAATATATATAATACAATAATATAATATTGCGACGCACCCACTTGATTTCCCTTCACACACGCACGCTGCCCTCTGCAATGATCAATTGTTGCCTGGTTTCCTGTTAAATTAGTATTTATATAAATTCAATATAAATATCAATTAGTCAATACCAATACTAATACCAAATAATACAAATAATTAATACCAATATCAACCAATCAATCAATTAATCAATATTAACGTTAATATCAGTATCAACCAACTAATCAATCAATATTAATACTAATATCAATATCTATAATGCCAATATCAACATCAACATTAATACCAACAATATTACCATCAATACCAATACCAATACCAATACGATTATATCAATATCAATCAATCAATTAATTTATTAATTAATTAATTAATCACTTTATGTAAATACCAATCTTCAAATAGAGCCGGCCCTGTAGTGTATATAGTGGAATGCGGCCTTATGGCCTGCTTGGCTCTTGAGTTCTGTGTATTAGTTTGGCTTTGATTTATGGGTGTGACCCTAAATTTATTTATGATAAATTTTTGTCTTCTTGCTTGAATTGGTTTATTTGCTTACGGCTTTTACACTGGTTGTTTACGTTTGTCTACTATGAGAAAATTAGGTTGTTTATTTAACAGTTACGGAAATGTTCTTATTATTTTTTAAAATTTAATTTTTAAGACGAATAGAATTCTTAGATTTTTTTGCAACATTGTGAAATGCTTATATAAACTGTAAGATACACTATGTATTTTCGTAACCCGATTCTTTAAGTATACTGAAATACTTAATTTGGCATATTCGTGATCGTCTAGATAATTTACTTACTTTATAAAAATTAGGACTCTACGTTGTGTATTTAAGTACATTGATAATAACGTTATTTTGAAATTGGTCAGGTTTAATGAAACACAAGTATTTAATTTTAAACCCCTGATTTAATTTAAGCAAAGACAAAGGGGTGGCCCGTTGAGTCAAAGCACAGGGAAAAGGGACCATAAAAACCCTGTCGACTTGCACGGTTCAAATAAAAATAAAATACAAAACAAAACATAGTCCTATGGGTCATAATCACAAGAATACAGTATAAATAATAAGTGAATAAAATAACATAAAAAGCAGCTAAACATATTTCATATAATTTGGGTGTTTTTATCAATACTCAAAACATTTTGTACTCAGGTAAAATAGTTATAATAGCGATCGTCATTTTATGACGAAGTGTTTGTTTACCTTACCACGCATCTTCGAACTATTGAACGAGGATTGATTGATTGATTTGATTGATTGATTTGAAGGGGAGCCTTTGCAGGCAGCACTTAGGCACACATACGGCCCATTGTGCAAACCCCCTTTTGGTGAAGCTCTGCCTTACCTTACCAGCCCGCAGCTTTTAAGAAAAGCGCAGACCCGCTCTGGTCGGGCATGCATTATTTCCTCTGGTTCCAAGTATCTGTCCCCTAGGTGTCTTAGTCTACTATTGACTAGAGCGTCGCATTCGCAGACTATATGCTCGGTAGTTTCGTCTACTTCGCTGCAGTACCTACAGTCCGACTCGTTGCTGAGTCTGGTTTTGTGTAGGTGGTATTTGACTACCCAGTGTCCTGTTAGGACTCCTGTGATGGTTCTTAACTGGTTCCTGTTAAGTTTCAGGAATCTTTTTGCCTCTTTGCAGGTAGTAGGACTCTTTATAAAGGCCCTTGACTGCCTGAGGCCTTGTTGTTCACGCCATTTTTTCTGGAACTGGTCGTTAGTCCAGTTCCTGATCTTGGTTTTTACCAGACAGGAGGCGACCCCTATGACAGGTTCCGGCCCCAAGAAGGCCGTGTTGCTGCCCTCACGAGCCAGCTGGTCTGCTTTCTCGTTGCCTCTGATGCCTCGATGACCCGGTACCCAGATAAGGTTAACCTTGTTGAGCACACTGAGTAGTTCGAGGGTTTTTATGCAGTCCAGTGTAAGTCTCGAGTTGACCCATTCCGAGTGAAGAACCCGGAGTGCTGCTTGACTGTCGCTGCATATGTAGATATGTTTACCCGAGTAGCCTCTCTGGAGATTCTCTTGGGCGCATATCTGGATGGCAAAGATTTCAGTCTGGTATACCGTTGGGTATCGACCTAGTGCAAGGCTTATTCTCGCCCCAGGTCGCTCTCCATATACACCAGCTCCTGCACCTTCTTTCATTAAAGACCCGTCTGTATACCAGATGAGCCCTTCCGGTTTGAGAAAGCCTGGGTCAGGCTCGCTCCAGTCGTTTCTGGAGGGGAAAACCACTTTATATCTCCTGTGGGGGGTAGACGTCTTTGGCATTGCATCCCTTCTTGTGAGAAGGGGGTCCCGGTTGATAGTCTCAGTCCAGGCCCTTGCATGCCCTGAGTTCTCCCCCCCGTGAGTCCATTGTCCCCAATCGTTGAGTCTGACTGAGGCCTCCCGAGCCCGTGCCTCCACAAAGAGATGTAGAGGCGCCAGTCCCAGTATGGCCTCCATTGCCAGTGTTGGAGTGGTTCTGAAAGCTCCAATTATGCCCATGCAGGCAAATCGTTGGAGCTTGTCCATCTTCTTCCTGTAGGTGGGCTTGCTTAACGCATTCCACCAAACAAGGCTGCCGTATGTGATCATTGGCCTTATGACTGTTGTGTAAAGCCAGTGCACTATGTGGGGTTGTAAGCCCCAGGTGCGTCCAATGGTCCTTCTGCATGCCCATAGGCTATGAGTGGCCCTCTGGACGACCCTGTTGACATGTTCCTTCCAGGTCAGCCTGGAGTCAATGATGACTCCTAGATACTTGACTGATTTGGATGGGATCAGTCTTGATCCAAAGAGCGTGAGCCCCTCAAGGTTAATGTTTCTTCGGTTGGTGAATGGTACTACTTCTGTCTTATCCGGATTGACGGATAGTCCGTGATCGTTGCACCACCTTTCGACCTTATTAAGAGCTCTTTGCATGATCTCTTTAATAGTGTTTGGTACCCTTCCGGCTACGACGATGACGAGGTCGTCCGCGTAGCCTTGAGTGTATATGCCTTCCTCGTTTAGGATACGAAGTAGCCCATCCAGCACTAGGCACCACAGCAAGGGCGATAGTACTCCTCCTTGCGGGCAGCCTCTGGCTACGGTTGAGCTGATCTCCGTAGTTCCAATCGAGCTTGTAATGATCCTGCTTTCCAGCATGACACGGATCCATTTGACAATGGTATTCTCTATGCCAAAGCCTTCTGCAGCTCTATTTATCGACTCGAAGGAGGTGTTGTTGAAAGCTCCTTCAATATCTAGAAACGTGCCCAGAGCCATCTCTTTAGGACGAGTCCCTCTCTCTAGTCTTGTCACAAGGCTGTGAAGAGCGGTCTCCGTCGACATGGCTGTCCTGTAGGCGTGTTGATTGGGATGCATGGGAATTCTTTTTAGTGCCCCGTCCCTAATAAATATGTCCACCAGTTTCTCCATAGTTTTTAAAAGAAACGAGGATAGACTGATGGGTCTATAGTCCTTTGCCGTATCGTAGTTACAACGTCCTGGCTTGGGGATAAACACCACTCGAACCTTTCGCCAGGATTGTGGCACGTAGCCTCGTGCCAGGCAGGCTCTGAAGAGGTGTATCAAGTGCGGTGTCAGTGGTTCTAGTCCCTTTTGTAAGAGAGCCGGAAAGATGCCATCTGGTCCCGCGCTTTTAAAAGATCCAAATGAGTGGATGGCCCACTTTATGGAGCTTTCTGTCACTACCTTTGCAGCTAGCTTCCAGTCAGTCGGTCTTACACCCGCTGGTGGAGCCCGCCTTGGTGGTTCAACAGTTTCCAGGATTTTTGATCCTGGAAAGTGAGTTTCCAGGAGCCATTTAAGTGCCTCCTCCGCGGTGGTGCTATAGTCACCGGAGGGAAGCCTTAATGTCCCCAGCTCTCGTCCCGGATCCTTTGAGAGAATCTTTTGAAGCCTGGCGGCTGCTGGAAGCTCGTCTACGTTACCGCAGAACGTCCTCCACGATTCCCTCTTAGACCTTCTTATGAGATCTTTGTACCTGCGCTGAGACTGCTTGTGGCTGTCCCAATCCGCAGGCGATTTAGACCGCATGACCCTGTTAAAGAGCCTGCGGGTTTCCTTGCGAGCCTTGTCGAGGTCAAAGTTCCACCAAGGGGTTTTCTTTTTTCCTCGATAGACCCGAAGCTGGCAGCTTCGTTCGTACGATGTGATGATT